GATGGTTGCGTGTGTTTCAACCGTCCGACCCTCCATGTGTCCGCACATCGTTTATATTTCACGGGGTCATCGGCGTGTTGCTGCTCCCCTCAGCCCTCTCATCGGCGTGCGAGTGCGGCCCGCAGAGCACAGTCACTCGTGTGTGGGGACTGAGAGAAGCACGCAGACATGACGGGAGTCGCGTCACTTCATCGGGAGTGAGCGCAGCAAAAGAAAAAAATCATCAGGAGGGAGAGAAATGATGACGGGACTGCCAGCGCGTGAAATGAACACGAAAAGAAAAAAAAAAGAAAAACACGGCGGCAGGGTGTGGCTGTGTGTGTGGCGCTGCGGGTGTCTGCCCGCCCTGGCCGCAAGAAAACAAAACAAGAGGGAAGAAATGTGTGCTCCGCCCCACAGGCCCTCGTCGCACGCCCACACGTCACGGCTCCCTCAGCGCGCCGTTCGTCGCGGCCCCTCCTCATGCGTGCAGCAGGCGAGGCGCACAGGGCCGTCGTCATGAGCGTGTCGGTGGTGTGCGAGCGGAGCAGTTGGGCGGAACACACGGCACCCCTCGCAGGAAGAGTGCAGCAACAAACAATTAAAGAGGGAAGAGTAGAAAAGAAAAAGAAATTCAATAGTGATTGCCCCAAAGCAAAAGAGAATAGGGAAGAGAAGAATAATAATAATAAAAGAATTTTGAAAAAAAGAAAATCATTTAAAAAAAGCAAAAAAATAAAAATAAAAACACACAAAAAAGCAAACAGGGAAAAAAGTAAATAAGAGTTATTTGAGAAGAGAAATTCATTGCCAGGTGTGTGTGTGTGTCGGGCAGCGGGGGTCGCAAGTGTCCCACGCGGCAGCCAGTCACTCCTCACAGAGCCGCAAACCCCCACAGTCCCAACAGAAGAAGCGATGGCAGCAGTCTTCTCTCACGCACGGTGCCGGCATCGCTGTTATTCCCCTGCGACACATTTCCGAGACTGCTGCTGAGCGCCGTGGCATTTAATTCCCCGTCCTGTGGATGGATCTCTTCCTCCTCCTGTCCATTCGTTCCTTTCACCGTCTCCCCATTCTCACCAGAGCTCACGCCCGCCTCAGGATTCACTGTGGGTCCATATTGCCCCTCGCCCTCAGTGGTGGGAGTATTTGCATCTGCTGTGTCGGAGATACCCACAGGAATTTGCGGTGATCCATTTCCCTGCTTCGTGTCTCCACCCACTGTCCCCACCGCCGGGTTACCATTAGACGAGGAATCGACGTTCACATTTTTATTTACATCGTGAGATCCTCCCGACGCCAACTGCTCTGCAGATTGACCCCCCACTGAGTGAGTCGTCATGGTGGTCTTTGCAGAATTGGATGCACCACCACCACCCGCATCATTACTTATCTTCAACAATTTCTCTTCGGTGTCCTGATGCCCGCCATGAATAGTTGAGGAGACGGCTCCCAGCGTATGTGGTTCAGTTCCAGCTGGTGGAGGAGCATCCCTCGCCTCTGTTTTTAGATCCTCCAGCTTTGGAATAGATAATTGGTTTGTGTTAAGCGCAGTAATCTCTTCGGAAGTCAACGGACGGTTGTACAGCAGGACGTTCGTCACGGTCACGGATACGTCTTCTCCGTTCCCTGTGCTCACTGCACTCTTTCCATCCCCTCCAATGTAGAAGTGCGATATCTCTTTCGAATCAGTATTTCCCAGTGCACATGGCACATCCTCACCCACACGCTTACCATCAACGTACGCGGAGCTCTGGTTGCCATTCCTTAACAAAATTACCACGTGGTGTTTCTTCGTTGTCTCCGGATCCCAAGTGCTGCTGTGTTTCTTATGGGTTTCGCCACCGCACAGCAATATCCATTTCTTTTCTCTGTCGTACGACAACTCCATGAGTGTGGTTTTTTTTTCTCCGTCCAGAAGCACACCCAACAACGGAATATTACCCTCCGTCGGCTCACCGTCGATGGAAACCGTCGCCACAAGAGTGAAGTTGTAGTTCGCAAAGTGGTACAGCTGATTCTCCCCCTGACTGCCAACAGGCCACTCCGCTCCTGCGCCACGCCCTTTGAACTTCACGCCAGTTTCTACCTGCTCCACCCCTTCATTATCTAATGTGGCGTTCACCCCGAGGTACTCGTCCCTCCATGTGTTCTCAGAGAAGTTGCCGGACAAAAAGCCAACCAGCCCATCCGTGATCTTAATATCAGCACTGCAGGCAGTGCCAGGTAAGGTATCCCTCCCAACACTCTCAGAGGTGCACAGCTGGGAGACACGCTCGTCCACTTCCTTCCATGTCGCCAGCACCTCCTTCACCTTCTCCAGCTGCGCAGTCAGAAGCACAGAGGCCATACCGGATGATGTTTCCTCAACGCCCTTCTTCTTCTCGTACAGTGCAATCAGCTCATCCTTCTTACCTTCCACACTTTTGTACAACAGGGAGCTGGCGGTAACTTCGTCATCATCCTTCTCGGATACCGGCCCAATATCAACAATGTGCGTGTTGTCCATCAGCCAAAGATGGAGTACGCCCTTTCCATTGCCGTCCTTACTCGAATACACCGGCAGAGTGACAAGCATCACTTTTTTCTTATCAATCGTCGCTGTGATGAACCCGCTCCCAACGAGTTCAACCTTTTCACGCTTTTTGTTGCCCCACACGCGCGAGAGTGTCCCGAGTGCCTCCGTCCACGACTCCCCCTTGTCACCGGACTCGTACACCCTGCGGCGGCCACCATCACACGCAGTCATCATCATGAGTTTGTCCTTCTCCCACTCCACGACGGAGGGAACACCGCAGCCATCGGCAGACATCCCTTCCGACAGCTTCCAACTCGCAATATCCTTCACGGAGTGAATGATTAGCGAAACGGTCGTTGTCTTTCCATCCTCTGCAGCGCCATTCAACTTCTTTGTGCCTTCCAGCGGGAACACAAGCGTACCGTCCTCCAACTGAACACCCGATCCACCGCTGCCAACCAGCCGCATCAAAGGTTCATTTTGTTTGACTTTATAACTCCACGGGAGACCGTAAGTGTCACTCCAATAAATTCTTTTTTTACTGTCAACAGTACTGACGTTCCCTTTCACCAGCATGAGTCCCCAGCCACCTGCCTGATCATCGGCGGTAAGTGTCCAGCTGTAACTTCCAGCAAGCATGTAAATATCACTTCCCTCCACAACTGTTGTTGGCCGGCTCACATGTACTGTCGTCTGGCTTCGGGAACCACCTTCCTCAGCAGCGTTTTGGGAGGGGCAATTGCCACCCTCAAAAGTGCATTCCTCCAGTACTTGTGTCTTCAGTTTATTTTTACCCAACTCCTCTTTTGGGTTTTCGCCAGTCAACTCCAAAACCTCCGAGGCAATCCCAGTAAAACTGCCTTCACCAGTATCTTTTTTTCCCGTGCAGAGCGCCTCGGCAACGGCAAACACATCACCATTCACTTTCAAAAGACTGGGAACACGGAGCGAACTCACTGTTTCTTCAACCTTCACATCTCTCCAATCAAAATATGTCTTTGGTGGAGGTATCTGTACTGGCGACTTCTCCTTACTGGATGCACTCCCTGTGCCGCAGCAAATCATCACGAAGAAGAGGAGCAGCACCGCGGAATAGAAGAGATGCCGGGACATTTTGGACCTCTGCGGCTCACTTTCTCTCCCTTCCCTCCTCCTGCCGCTCGATCCGGTCACGCGGCGACGGTTGTGTGTGCGGGGTGCCTTCACTGCAGCAACACGTGAGAGCATATAAATACGTGTGTGTGGGCGGTGTGTGTGCTGTTGGTCCTTTCAGAGCCTTCGGATTTCACAGTAGCGATTAGCGCTTGTTTGCTTCTTCGTGTGTGATTGAGAAATAGAGAAACATGCCAAGAAAACATGCCAAGAAAAAGGTGAAACAGTGAGCACCGCCACCCATCCACAGTGAGTGGCATCATCATCCGTACCGCAGCCACTCCCAACAACAACAACTCACGCACACAGACACACGGAACAGGAGATGGAAGAACAGTGCACCGGGAACACACAGCGACGGTCACCACCAGAAGAAGCAGCAGGAGCCACAGCGGGTGCGTTGCTATTCGTCACGCGTCAGCAGACACTGAACAACGTCCACACACAAAGCAACCAGCGGGACGCAAAAGGGCACAGCCGCACATCACAGCACCCACGCGCTGCCACCAGTCGTATTGCTGCTGTCTCCCCTAACGCTCCTGCACATCATTCCAAACAGCCGGAGAATCCCTCGTCGACAAAACCACGACGGGAGAGACACGTCGGCAGGTACAGCTGTTCGAAGAGAGTCGATATACACTCGTCCCAGGCATCCTCAACGCCACACCATTCAATTGTTGCACGCCGCCAAAATAACATCCGTATCACGTCGCCGGCACGCATTGCGGGCTCACGTTCTCCTAACTCGCAAGAGCAACCGCAGACAAAATATTGTGCGTGCGTTCTCAGTGCTCACGCCACTCCACAGCGTGAGCGGCATGGCGATTGCCTGTGTGTGTGTTTGCCAAAGTCTACACTTGCAGAGCAGCCGTGCGGCACAAAAGAGCCTAAGAAAGCAACAGCAGAGAGAAGCGGATGGCACACACGCAAATTACTCATATCATCACACACACACACACGCAGCCGCGGAATGGGTGCACTCAACCACAAAATCAAAAAGAAAAACAAAACAAAAAGCCGAAGCGTGGGACGACCAGCGCACAAACTCTCATTGCTCCCGTAAAGCAAAACACACACACAGGGAGAGAGAGAGAGAGGTCGCCCACTCAATGCAATAAAAACAGAACAGTTACGGTGCTCCGCCCATGCAGCCAGGCAGGACGGCAGCGGTGCGTGTCGTGCAAAAGAGAGCACCAACGGGCCTGCATGGGTGTGCATGCATATATACAATGGGCACATTATGTGTGTGCTTCGTGGGGTGAGGTGAGGGCGAGAGTCCATGCAAGGGGACACACACACAGAGAGAAGGACGAGTGTGTGTGCGGGCGGTGCACGGCTCTCTCTCCCACTCTCACGCGGCCACCACCACCGCAGCAGCCGCACACGCAACAACAACAACAACAAGCAAAAGAGGGGAGGTGGTGTGGGAGACCGCGGTGCTGCCGTCCCTGTCGCCAACCTTAGATGTATTTACACTTTGGCGTATTTCAGTCTCTGCAGTATCCGAAGGCTGAGCATTCTCAGTGGTATTGTTTCCAGTGAGTTTTTCCTCCTGAATTTTAGGAATTCCATTTGAAGACGGCGTAGCTGCTCCTTCTTGACCGCCAGTTGATGTACTCTGCATTGTGGTGGCTGTGGATGCAGGACCCTCGTTACTTCTTTTAGGCGCCCCAGGTAAATTTGCGGATGCATTCATGTTCATTCTCTCCGTCTCCTCTTTTACTGACATTATTACTTTGTGCTGAGGCGTGTGTTCCGGTGCTGCTGCTGCTTGTGATGATTCCGGCGGAGCCCTTCCACCTTCTGGTAAGTTTGTACTTGGACCATCTGATGGTTCTTCTGATCGGGAAGCTTCTAAATCCCCTTTTACCGCTATTTGTACTCCCAAAGTGCGTAAACCATCGGCACTCAACGTGGCGGCGTCGTTGTCATTTTGGCCCCCCGTTGGTGGTGGAGCAGAACTGTTTTGTTGCGATCCGTTGTTGTGTGTTCCTGCTGCCTCTCCGTCGCCTAGCTGGGTGTGTTGACTCTCCTTTTCTTGTAGTGCCATATCTTCTTTCGAAGCTTTCCCAACTGTATTGGATGAAGTACTGACTGTAGGCCCTGTTTCACCACTAATGCGGGATGAAGAATCAACGCCAGAAAGAGAAGAAGACCCCGAAGTAGGAATGACACCAGGACCAGCAGAAACAGATGATGCTTTTATTCCTCCGCCTGCTGGTGGTGGTGTTTCGCGTGTCTCTGTTTCTTCCCCCTCATCCTCTTCCTCATAGACATCATCTAGTGAAGGTTCTATAACTGAACCTCTTCCTTGGTTTTCATTCTTTCCGTTTTGTGCATACAACAATTGCCTCGCGTCTTCAGACACTCCAGCAACTGACTTCAGTGAACCCTGCGGCCCATCAACACCCCCTCGAGGCCCAGACAAAGCAGAGGAAGATACCTCATCCCCGTCACATCTACCGCCGGCACCGCACCACAGCACGCAGAGGGCACACACCAGCAGCACACGGCCAGGCACCATCATCGCCATCACTCCTGTCACTTGCGTGCAGCCTTCAGCACAAACTAACAACACGTCAACGCAGAGTGAAAGCAAAAGGAGAAAAGTCACACAGCCACGCACCGTCCCATCCAGAAATGAGAGTCACGCACCACAACAACAACCAAAAAGAAACTAAAATAAAAGAGGAGCGCTCCTCGCCGTGTGTGCATGCGGTGGGGCCTTGTGTGCCGCTCCTGCTTGCTTCTCCCTCCTCCATCTGTTTGTTGGTGTTGCGGCAGGGCTGTGTGTGTGTGTGCCTGTTGCCGTGGATTGGAGTGTGTGTCGTGCGTGGTGTGCGGCGTACGGTGCATGCCTGGCTGCTGCCCTCTCCTCATGTGGTGTGCCCTCTGTGTGTGTCTGCCGCACCTCTCGTCTCCCCTGTTGCTCTCCATGTCCCTCACTGTGCAGATCAGCTCCACACCACTGAACGACCACACTCACGATGATGATGACGTGCCGTCTGCTGTGCGCCTTGTTGGTGCTCGCCCTGTGCTGCTGCCTGTCCGTGTGCGTGATGGCGAGTGAAGTTGATCTTCCTGAACTCATTCCGGACTCTGGTCCAGAAAAGGGACCAGTTGGGGCGGAAGTTAAGCAGAAGGGAACAGAAGCGGACCGAGAACTGGGGAAAGATGCGCCAAAGGATCAAGTTGGGAAGGATACGCAAAACATACAAGGTCCGCCAGCCGCTTTGGAAGAGGAACAAGATGGTGATAAGGGTCCTGGTTTAAAGCTATCTAGGTCGAACGCAGCAGTTTCAACCGATAAGTCAGATTTAACAGGTTTGGAAACCATTATTCCAGTAGTATTAAGTCAGGCGATCGGTACTTCAGTGGGAATGAGTACGACCGATGCGCAGGGGGTGGTGGGTAATACAGTCGGTGCCGCAAATGGATCAAAGGGGAAGCTTCCTGAGTCAGAAACACAAGGTACGGTGACCGTGGCGGGGTTACAAGCTCCGACACAGGCGAAGGAAACCGTTGGAAGTAAATCCCCGAATGGATCAGAAGGAGTGGCAGATGCGCCAATTACTACAACGAGCACCACTAGTACAACGGCATCAGGGTTACAGGTCCAAAGCAAAAAAGAAGAGGAACCAGTTATTACGAACGGTAGGGAAAACACACAAAGTACGGTGTTCAGTAAGGTGTCCAACAGCCAAGTTGCATCAGTTGTGTCTGGTCATTCAGGATCACAAGTTCCTGGCGTTCTGCTACAGCGACCTACTTTACAAACCGTTAAGTCAAGGGCGCAAAGTGTGACAATTCATTCCGAAAACGGACAAGAAACGAAGACTATTGCATTGAAGACCAGTACGACCACAACAGAGTCGCCAACTACGAAGACCACCCGCGCACCGTCACGTCTCCGCGAAATCGACGGCAGCCTCAGCAGCTCTGCGTGGGTGTGTGCCCCGCTGCTGCTCGCCGTATCCGCGCTGGCGTACACCGCTGTGGGCTGAAAGGGAGCGTGGGCTGTGCGTGCCAGCACTCAGCCACGGGGACATGTGTACGTCTACTGTGGTCCGATGTATAAAGTAAGAGTGATTATGATGATCGTTTTTTGCTTTTTTTGCTTCCGCTGCCCTGCTGTGCGCTCCGCGTTGCTTCCCACATCCGTCACGTTGAGCGCGTTCCAGACACACTCATATGCACGAGACGCACACGACTGTTTGCGTGGACGCACTGTTGAGGATGGGTGCATGCGCACGGGAGCCATTTGGGTGCAGTTTTTGTAATTTTTACTGCTTTGCTTTATTGCTGCTTGTTTACTTTTGTGTTTTATTGTTGTTAAATTATGCAGGGCTTTGTGCGTTTTGCACTTTCATTGGTTCAATATTTCTCATGAAATGCGTGCTGCTGCTGCTGCTGGTCCTTTTCCTTTGCTTTCACTCTGCGTTGACGTGTTGTTAGTTTGAGCTGAAGGCCGCACGCAAGTGACAGGAGTGATGGCGATGATGATGACTGGCCGTGTGCTGCTGGTGTGTGCCCTCTGCGTGCTGTGGTGCGGTGCTGGCGGTGTTTATGCGAGGGACGGGGAGAACAACGCACAGGGTGGCTGCATGGTGCCGGGAGGGTTTGGAAAGAAAGCATCGTATTTGGCGAGTGGATGTGATAAAAACGCGCCGACGCTCTCTTTGCGTTCAGTTTTGCCTATTCTTGTCATACAGGCCGGAGATTCTGAAGGTGTCCCTTCCAAGGAAAATAATGGTAAAAATTCCATTTTAGTTGGTGGAGTTGCTGGTCCCGACATCACTGCAGGAGTAGGAGGTGGTGGAAGCGATGGTCGAGGCGGTGTAAATTCTGGTGGACAAGAAGGTGCTGGCAGCAGTCATGCTGGTTTTGTGCCTGGCGCTGGTTACTCTCCTCCTGCTGGTGGTCCTGCTTCCGGTGGTGGTTCTTCACCTGACCGTAGTGCTACCACGGAGACCAGTGTCAGTCTTTCATCCACCTCGCAAAGTGAAGCCCAACAAGAACTTTTGCAAAGTGATGAAACAAAGGAGAGTCAACACGCCCAGTTGCTCGACGGAAAGGCACCGGATACGCCCGCCGCTGAAAAGCAGTCACGGGGCTCTGATACAACAAGGGCCAGGGTGTTGGCGACACTTCTACATTGAGCGGAAAAGAACAGCACTCTTCGGAAGAAGCAATGAAAAACGACGGGGATCCAGACACTCTTCAAACAGTTATGTCACCAGAAGATCCAAATGAAGAATTACAAGAAAAAGGAAAAGCCTCGCTGGAATTATCAAACGCCCCTCTGCCGAAACCCAAAACCGATCATCAAAAAACGAATCCAGAAAAAGAGAAGAATGGCGGCGAGAAGACGAGTGCATCCACGGATTCACGCACAAAACAAGGACGAAATAACGAGGATCCTGTATCCACTTCAGACACTGCGGAAGGTGTATCGACTGGCGGTCAAGAACAAGCAGCAACGACATCTTCAAATGAAGGCTCTTCCCCACTTCAGAAGGAAACATCCACTGAAAAGACTACTGTGGAGAATGCTCAACCTTCCGATACTGCACAGACAAAAAAAAGCCAAAGTGGAGATAAGAAAAAGATTGCCGACAATGACAGCAGCACCGCGGTCTCCCACACCGCCTCCCCTCTTTTGCTTCTTCTTGTTGTTGCGTGTGCTGCTGCTGCGGCTGTGGTGGTGGCCGCGTGAGAGTGAGGGAGAGAGAGCCGTGCACCGCCCGCACACACACTCGTCCTTCTCTCTCTCTGTGTGTGTCCCCTTGCATGGACTCTCGCCCTCACCTCACCCCACGAGGCACACACAATAATGTGCCCATTGTATATATGCATGCACACCCATGCAGGCCCGTTGGTGCTCTCTTTTGCACGACACGCACCGCTGCCGTCCTGCCTGGCTGCATGGGCGGAGCACCGTAACTGTTTCTGTTTTGTTTTTATTGCATTGAGTGGGCGACCTCTCTCTCTCTCCCTCTGTGTGTGTGTTTTGCTTTACGGGAGTAATGAGAGTTTGTGCGCTGGTCGTCCCACGCTTCGGCTTTTTGTTTTGTTTTCCTTTTTGATTTTGTGGTTGAGTGCACCCATTCCGCGGCTGCGTGTGTGTGTGTGATGATATGAGTAATTTGCGTGTGTGCCATCTGCCTCTCTCTGCTGTTGCTTTCTTCAGACTCTCTCGTATCGCACGGCTGCTCTGCAAGTGTAGACTTTGGCAAACACACACACAGGCAATCGCCATGCCGCTCACGCTGTGGAGTGGCGTGAGCACTGAGAACGCACGCACCCAGAAGATTTTGGCTGTGGCGGCTCTTGCGAGTTAGGAGAACGTGAGCCCGCAATGCGTGCCGGCGACGTGATACGGATGTTATTTTGGCGGCGTGCAACAATTGAATGGTGTGGCGTTGAGGATGCCTGGGACGAGTGTATATCGACTCTCTTCGAACAGCTGTACCTGCCGACGTGTCTCTCCCGTCGTGGTTTTGTCGACGAGGGATTCTCCGGCTGTGTGGAATGATGTGCGTGTGCATTGGAGGAGACAGCAGCCAAATGACTGGCGGCAGCGCATGAGTGCTGTGATGTGCGGCTGTGCCCTTTTGCGTCCCGCTGGTTGCTTTGTGTGTGGACGTTGTTCAGTGTCTGCTGACGCGTGACGAATAGCAACGCACCCGCTGTGGCTCCTGCTGCTTCTTCTGGTGGTGACCGTCGCTGTGTGTTCCCGGTGCACTGTTCTTCCATCTCCTGTTCCGTGTGTCTGTGTGCGTGAGTTGTTGTTGTTTGGAGTGGCTGCGGTACGGATGATGATGCCACTCACTGTGGATGGGTGGCGGTGCTCACTGTTTTATCCTCTTTTCTTGGGGAGTTTTCTTTCTATTTCTTTTTCAATCACACACGAAGAAGGAAAACAAGCGCTAATCGCCACTGTGAAATTCGAAGGCACTGAAAGGACCAACAGCACACACACCGCCCACACACACGTATTTATATGCTCTCACGTGTTGCTGCAGTGAAGGCACCCCGCACACACAACCGTCGCCGCGTGACCGGATCGAGCGGCAGGAGGAGGGAAGGGAGAGAAAGTGAGCCGCAGAGGTCCAAAATGTCCCGGCATCTCTTCTATTCCGCGGTGCTGCTCCTCTTCTTCGTGATGATTTGCTGCGGCACAGGGAGTGCATCCAGTAAGGAGAAGTCGCCAGTACAGATACCTCCACCAAAGACATATTTTGATTGGAGAGATGTGAAGGTTGAAGAAACAGTGAGTTCGCTCCGTGTTCCCAGTCTTTTGAAAGTGAATGGTGATGTGTTTGCCGTTGCCGAGGCGCTCTGCACGGGAAAAAAAGATACTGGTGAAGGCAGTTTTACTGGGATTGCCTCGGAGGTTTTGGAGTTGACTGGCGAAAACCCAAAAGAGGAGTTGGGTAAAAATAAACTGAAGACACAAGTACTGGAGGAATGCACTTTTGAGGGTGGCAATTGCCCCTCCCAAAACGCTGCTGAGGAAGGTGGTTCCCGAAGCCAGACGACAGTACATGTGAGCCGGCCAACAACAGTTGTGGAGGGAAGTGATATTTACATGCTTGCTGGAAGTTACAGCTGGACACTTACCGCCGATGATCAGGCAGGTGGCTGGGGACTCATGCTGGTGAAAGGGAACGTCAGTACTGTTGACAGTAAAAAAAGAATTTATTGGAGTGACACTTACGGTCTCCCGTGGAGTTATAAAGTCAAACAAAATGAACCTTTGATGCGGCTGGTTGGCAGCGGTGGATCGGGTGTTCAGTTGGAGGACGGTACGCTTGTGTTCCCGCTGGAAGGCACAAAGAAGTTGAATGGCGCTGCAGAGGATGGAAAGACAACGACCGTTTCGCTAATCATTCACTCCGTGAAGGATATTGCGAGTTGGAAGCTGTCGGAAGGGATGTCTGCCGATGGCTGCGGTGATCCCTCCGTCGTGGAGTGGGAGAAGGACAAACTCATGATGATGACTGCGTGTGATGATGGCCGCCGCAGGGTGTACGAGTCCGGTGACAAGGGGGAGTCGTGGACGGAGGCACTCGGGACACTCTCGCGCGTGTGGGGCAACAAAAAGGGTGTAAAGGTTGAACTCGTTGGGAGCGGGTTCATCACAGCGAAGATTGGCGATGACAGGGACGTGATGCTTGTCACTCTGCCGGTGTATTCGAGTAAGGACGGCAATGGAAAGGGCGTACTCCATCTTTGGCTGACGGACAATACGCACATTGTTGATATTGGGCCGGTATCCGAGAAGGAAGAGGAGGATGTCACCGCCAGCTCCCTGTTGTACAAAAGTGTGGAAGGTAAGAAGGATGAATTGATTGCACTGTACGAGAAGAAGAAGGGCGTTGAGGAAACATCATCCGGTATGGTCTCTGTGCGTCTGACTGCGCAGTTGCAGCGAGTTAAGAAGGTGCTGGCGACGTGGAAGAAAGCGGACGAACGTGTCTCCCAGCTGTGCACCTCTGAGAGTGTTGGGAGGGATACCTTAACTGGCACTGCCTGCAGTGCTGATATTAAGATCACGGATGGGCTGGTTGGCTTTTTGTCCGGCAACTTCTCTGAGAACACATGGAGGGACGAGTACCTCGGGGTGAACGCCACATTAGATAATGAAGGGGTGGAGCAGGTAGAAACTGGCGTGAAGTTCAAAGGGCGTGGCGCAGGAGCGGAGTGGCCTGTTGGCAAGCAAGGGGATAATCAGCTGTACCACTTTGCGAACTACAACTTCACTCTTGTGGCGACGGTTTCCATCGACGGTGAGCCGACGGAGGGTAATATTCCGTTGTTGGGTGTGCTTCTGGACGGAGAAAAAAAAACCACACTCATGGAGTTGTCGTACGACAGAGAAAAGAAGTGGATATTGCTGTGCGGTGGCGAAACCCATAAGAAACACAGCAGCACTTGGGATCCGGAGACAACGAAGAAACACCACGTGGTAATTTTGTTAAGGAATGGCAACCAGAGCTCCGCGTACGTTGATGGTAAGCGTGTGGGTGAGGATGTGCCATGTGCACTGGGAAATACTGATTCGAAAGTAATCTCCCACTTCTACATTGGAGGGGATGGAAAGAGTGCAGTGAGCCCAGGGAACGGAGAAGACGTATCCGTGACCGTGACGAACGTCCTGCTGTACAACCGTCC